AGGAATGTCTTTTGTGTGGTTAGCACAAGGGTATTTCAGGATCTTCTGCAGCAATAAAGTACATATTAGCTACAGCAGATCTACCACTAGTTTAAAATTCATCCAGTAGAGGGGACTTTAGGAATAGACGACGTCAGGACTTGAAAGGCAGCCTGCCCAGCAGTCTTGGCCTAACCGCAGCAAGATGAAGTAGTTGCATTTCTTTCCCTCCTCTCTGCCAAGGCAACTGTACATTGTTGCTATAAATAGAGACACTCTGGATTCCAGCTTCTTTTAACCTTGGAGGGAGACAACTCGGCCACTGTACCAGCAAGAGAGGCAAAGGGCTTTCACCACCTAAAAACGTCTCGATGCCACAGGAGCCTCCTCCAGCCCACGTGCCAGCACAGGTATGTGCTGCCTGTGCGGGTGCTAAAAGTCCTCGCTGAGAACTCCCGGCAAACCCCATCTGCCCAGCACACACTCGACGGGGATGCACACCCCGCTAACCCGAGAGCTGCATCGGCAGAAAAGCACAGGTTGGAGCCGTGGCCAGAAAAGCCTGCTGCAGTCTGGAGGTGAGGGGGAGTTCTTGCTGCCTGCTGTTGCAATTTGGAAAGATAAAGATAGAACTACTGAATTTGGTTTCCCACCTCATGAGACTCCCTTCCAAGGTCAGTGCTTCAGCTGTGGAGGTCAGACTGCAACCGCCACTGAAGCAAGCAGTACACCTGTGTGCAGGCCGCTTTTATTGCAGGGCTTTGCTCTTGTATTCAGATCATAACACTTGAAGCTGTGCCAAGCTGGCCTTGTAAATGCAAGCCACGCCTATTTTCCATCTGGTAGGAGGACATTCTAGAAAGCAAGCCCCTAGCTTGTAAAACTGGCAGATTGTGCAAACCAGTAAATGCTTCCCATTCTAAGAACAAGATTGTGACAGTTTTGAGCTAAAAGATGAATTAATGCACAAGAGTGAATTCTAAAATTTCAGGTAACAGTTACAAGATAGAATCATGTGGATGCCTTGTGGCAGCAGCAGGCAGCTCCAGAAGCGCGTGTTCCTAGCAAGAGCGGTGGAATCGCGTAGTCAGGGCACAGCCATCCAGGTGTCGGCAGCAGTTACAAAGCACACCAGTAAGACAGCCAGACTCCCACCTCGGCAGTCCTCAGCTGCACGTGGTAAAAGGCATTTCGGTGGAGATGTAGCCACGTAAGGAAGAACTGGCACAAGAACTGAGCAGAACATGTTTGTAGCTGGAAACTTCCAGTGTTTTCTCCATTGTGCAGAGAAGTAGTGGTTGGAGGTGGCAGGGCAGCAGAGGATTTGGACATCTTTAGCCCCAACCATCAGTGTTTAAGCAATTACCAAAAAGATATAAACACTGGGGTAACAAGTAAGCCTCTTGCAAGAAACAAAACTGTGAAGCTAAGACGGAAAGCGACACTCTACAGCTATTCCTTCAATGGCTGCTGTGAGGCAACATGGACACTGCTGCCACGTGTAACGGACAAGAGGAGTATCAGGTCTGTGTGTGAGCACGCATAAATTGTTACCACCACTGGAGTTCTCATAGCAAAGCCTCCAGCCCCTGGAAGCACACTGTAAAAGGGATCTATGATAACAGTAACAAGAGAGCAAAAGCATTTGAAATTCTCATCCTTTAATGGTCAATGATAACTTCTGGCTGGTTCTGTGTAATACAATTAAACAATATACTTAAATGTTCCCCCCCCCCCCAAAAAAAAGCAGCTCTCACACCCCCTCTTTCTATAGCTTTCTTTCATTGACATTCCGCTGCTGGATTGGACTCCCATGGCCTAACATACAGCTCTCAAGTCAGCACACATCCACATCTTAAGTGTAACGAAGAACTGAAAAACCTTGGTGCACCAGTGATGTGTTATTTTAAAAATAACAGCTCTATTAAACCAAATCCTTCCCAGTCTCCACTGCTTCTCAAAGAGGAAAAACAAAACGTTACTGTGGGAGTCTTAATACACTTGTCTTTGTGGGTTTCTCTCTTCCGTGCTGAAGTCATACAGCATAGAGTTCATAGATCTTCTTTACACAGTACACCAGGGCAGCGAGTGCTATCGTGTTATGCAGTCTCTTTCTGTGCAGGTCGTCCTTCCTCACCAGCACCACCGGAGTGGAGGAGGTGAGTGTATGCAGGGGCAGGCGGGAAAGTTTATAGGCATCGTACTCTACTTGGTACTTGCAACAAGGATCAAATTGCCAAGAGATACCATAAAGGGTGCAGCAAGCCACGCTCAGCACACCAGCAGGCAGGGAGATGTAGTGAGAATAATCTACTGGAAGTGCCAGAGGGGTGAAGAGACAGGTGGTGCCCGCTAACACGGCGGTCTTGTGCAGGCAGTTCCCGACAGTGATCCAGCGGGCCGTCTCATCCCCAATGCGAGTGGGCTCTATCACTATGTATTTGTACTGCGCTTCCAGGGCCTGCTCCAGCTCATACTCAAACTGGTCCTGAGCGTTCTCTCCATTGTAGATCTCGTGCACGATGTAACAGTCCGTGGAGGACAAGGTGACCCTGTTAACAGGAAACGCAGAGTTAAAACTACAGAGCTTAAAGACAGACCGTTCACCCACCCAGCTGCGAGGAGAGAAAAACGCACCAAGTGAGGGCAGCCCCTCAAGGTCAGTCACTGCTTCTGTTCAACAACAAGCAGCTTTTTCAAATCAAGATTCATTTTGCATCAGCTAATTATGCCTGCTGTACATGAAGTCATCCCAAAATAAGGGGATATTTTTCCTTACCTTTCCCTAACTCGGAGGAGCTAGAATATTTTGAGAACATAGGGTCTTGTTAACAATCCTGAAATGGTTGCTCACACCGATACCCAAGTAGTTTCTCTAGAGATACTGGAAATACCACACTTTGGTGACCACACCACATCAATGAATGAACCGTGCAGGCTTAAGGAGTTCTCACAGAAAATAAGACTAGCAACTCGTCCATCAAGAGGGCAAGTTGCACTGGAAGGTTTTAAGAGAGGAAGCATGTTCAAGTGAAGATGTCTGCCTTCTCCCCACATAACTACCTCCTTGCCACTGATGCAACTTGCTCTTTAGCCCCACCACAGTAAATCCAACCTAATAAATCCATGGTAAATCCAACAAGGATGGCCAAGAAACACTGCTGGGACTAAAGGCGAACATGATAGCAGCATACTCTGCTACAGAATGATTCACTCCCTCTGCTGAAACAGGGCACCGCAAAGCAAGAAAGGAACTTTTTTTTTTAACCCAGGCAGGCTTTAACAGTGAAGAAGGAACTGCTCGCTTTACGTTGGAGCACGCTCCCTACTGACAGGAGATTCACAAGGCTTGTGTATCCCTCATTTGAGGAGCAGCTTCTAGCTACCTAAAATCACATCAACTTCCACCTCCCCTCCACCCCTTCACACAGATCACCTTAGCTGCAGCTGTATTAATGTGATGGACTGCTAAAAAATAGGATTATGACTGTTTACCTGCACTGAGAAAGGGTAAAAACCTAGCCATTAGAACAAGGCAAAATCCTCCCTTCTAGGCAGAAGAAATAACCATTTCTGACATACTTGTGTTTAACCAGAGCAAAACTGAGCACGTGGCCTCTCAAGGATAAAAATATCTAGCAGATTCCTTTAGCAGAAGGAGAACAAATCGCACTCGTATTTGATCTAATCACAGCAGACAAAACAACGTTACCCCAACAACATTTAGACCCTCCCGATATTGGGAGGCAAGACGCTGCTGAGACAGACAATGAAACTAGCACTTTTTGCTCCATTAGTACAATGGTACTTATGTGCATGCACTGGAAAATAAGGGAGAAAAATACACATTCGCAAGCTGCCGTGTTACCAGACATTACCCTTAATGTGCAGCTCCATTCATGCTGCAAAGCGTATCGTGCAGTGGCCATCTGTAATCAAGAATGTTGTTAAATTACAAGCTGTTGCCAGAAGTAGCTGCTTTTGTGAACAGCGGCAAACATATCAAACAGCAGGACCCAAGATGCACCAGCCTCTCTCAAAGCAGAGTAATAAGCAGTTTCATTAAAAGTCTGGCTGGAATTTATATAAACTACAAGGAAAACTCAACTTACAAGCTAGCTATTGAGTTCTCTGCAGTGCATTTCCCCCTTGGCCTGTTCACAAGTAGAAAGAAAAACAAAAATCCACCTGGATGCTGTGTAGGCCAGGGGCCTCTTTAAGGCCATCACCTTGTCAGACACTGCTTGGAAAATTATGATTAACTCTTTCAGCACATCTTTCAGGATGTGACATTCTGAAGTGAACTGGCAAGTACTTAAAAAATTTGAAGGACAGCACCTATATAAGGAGTTTCTAACAAAGAATGAGTTAACCAGGTGTTCCACTATACATTAAGGACACAGCTGGTAAAGGAACAGTTGTCATCAAGAACAAAAAAAATCCTTGACAGAAAGCAAGTGCAGCTTCTCTGAAATCAAAAATTCCAGTTTCATTACAGAAGATATGCAGAGACTTAAGGTAACTGTAAAACAACACCGATGACTATGTGAAACCACTTGCTAAGGTATAATGACTTCAGGGAAAAGCTATTGCTGAAAGGCATTTTCAAGCTGGAAGCTGACCCAGTACTAACACAACCCTCCAGATAAAATGAGTATTTCCTACCAAAGAGCACTTTCAGCATTTTGTAACACCTAGGAACATGCAGCGTGGGTCTGCAAAACAGAGAAGCAGAATCCAAATTCAACTAAGAACTCCACAGAGGCTCAGGAACAGCACAATAGCCCAGTCACCCTAGGATCTCCCTGCCATCACTGGGAGAACAAGGGTTAAAGAGGCTTACTTGTTCTCTGCCTGTACAAGAGCCACAGGGAACTGGGCTTCTAACTCTAGGAATTAAGTCAAGAAACTACATGCCATGGGATTCTCCAGGCTCAGCATCAGGACAGGTGGCACTGACCTATCAGCCTCATTCCTCCTCACTCAGATCTTGCCTGTTCTTCCCTCTGAACATCCCTTCTTTCCTTTCACCATGCTGTACACAAGTAGAGCCACACCACAAGCAACTGCCACCTGTCAGAGCAGGAATCCAACAGACTTTGGCCAGAGGCAGTACTGTCCATCTCTTCTGGAATCTTTTGGCTTGCCAGGCTGTGGGGTTTTATAACAATAGAGTCAAGAAACGCAAAATCATCTTTAGCCAAAACAAGCAGATCTTAAAGTATGTTCTGTTGAAAAAAATCACTGGGGAAAAAAACTGCACAAAGGCTTCATCCCTGATAGGGTCTGGCCCCTTAACTATGCTGTTTCGCCAGATCAGTCCTCCAATATGGGAATAAATCTCTATCACAGTGCTGTAGCTGCAAATGGTAAACTAGACAATCCAAAAACAAAGGACAAAGAATGAAAAAATTAGCTGCTCAAAACAATAGGACACATGAAGAGTCGGCAACACAAGCAGAAAGTCTCTATTTCTGTAACTGAGGAAGTGGGGTTTATCACATATTATTTCCACACAAGAACTGGCTGCCCCTGGAGAATGGAAAGCTGAAAACTGTTTTGTTTTCAGATGATATAAAGAGACACAGATAAGATACATGGGCTTGAGAAGGTTTTGGACCTTGTTGGCATGTACAGTAGGACCGAGGACCTCAGTCCACACAGGCAATCTCTCCTGACACAGCCTTTCAATTGAACACAGCAGCTGCACAGGAACAAATCCAGTCAAAGCAACTGGATTTGCTCAAACACCGGCGGCTATGGAGTTTGCCTTTTGGAGCTTGTACCCCACCCCCCAGCAATGACAAACAAAAATGCAGAGCTATGCAATCAACTCCAAGCTGGCATCCACCCGTTAGAAAGTGTGGTGATTTTATATAAATTCCATTTTACTTAAAAGAATAGTAACTAGCCAGTGTCAGCAAGGATCTAGTTCCAAAAGTCATAAAATGCTGCCACATGTTCAGAAGCCCAGCATGCTATTTACCAGACAGACCAGAACCTAAAAGCCTAAAAGCAGTTTTTAGTATTATTCAATCAAATGATTTTCCAGGACCTGCCTCACCACCCCCCAGAAAAAAAAAAAAAAAGACCAAGTTAAAGAGTTGTACCGCTGTTCTGGACCTTATATCCAAATAGTTTATTCTACTGCAGCTTCATATATTCTATTCTTGAGAAATTTAAAATGTCTCATTCCTACTGCAAACTGAACACATAGATGGGGCAATGTGACAGTACTCAACTACTCGGCATAGCAAGATGAAAACAATTTAAAATCATTGATGTAAAATTTTGGTATTGCCAAAGTTTTAAGTAAGGAATCAGTTGTTAACAGAGCTACCATCAGCAGGAGGGGCAGAAGTGTCTGTCTCGGCTATAGGACAAGCTTCAAATTACATTTGGATTATCTTCCTAACATGGGAATATCAGAGAGCACCAGGAGAGGGGTGCTGCAGCTGGCTGAACAATAGCAACTCCAGCAGCTTCCCAGTTGCAGCCCCCAAAGCAGCTCCGTTCCTCTGTGGCCTCCAGCTTGGAAGCAGTGTCCTAGCTGCCTCTTGAGAACAGCAGCCTGTCTGTTAAATACAAATTTCAATTGGGTAGTCTTTATGGATGAAGAAATAAATACCCTTCTAAGGAGGAGGCACAATGCCACTCAATGGGAAAAGACCTTAAGGTTTGCCAGATGCCAAGTGGCAAAAAGAGAAACAAATGAACAGAGTGCTGAAAACAGGGCAGATGACAACCCGGAAGAAACCTCAGCATCCTTCTACCACTGTCCACTTGCAGGGAGAACGTCTGAGCCTCACAAGCATGCGGTCCTCAGCCTGAAGGTATTCCTCGATGTGCCAGACAGACTTTTGGCTAGGGTTTCAAGTCATCCATCTATCTCAGCTTGGCACAATGTTCAGAATCACGATTAGAAACAATCTCAATCTGCACGAAGCACAGGTACAGTTCTGTGCAAAGAGTTCTTTTGAAACCCCTCCCGTAACACTTAGGTCAAGTTTTGTTTCTTTTTTTAAAAGAAGAATGTTCCTGGACAATGGTATTGCTCAGAGCACCAAACGTACATTCAGATTAACTGCAAATGAAGACCAATCTGATTAGTAATTAAGAAAATAAGGAAGGAGAAGCTTGCAGCAGAGTGATAACGCCGTTCACAAGCAGCATGCGCGCGCGCACGCACACACACACACAATCTAGTTAGGTCAAGTTTTGTTTCTTTTTTTAAAAGAAGAATGTTCGTGGACAACGGTATTGCTCAGAGCACCAAATGTACATTCAGATTAACTGCAAATGAAGACCAGTCTGATTAGTAATTAAGAAAATAAGGAAGAGAAGCTTGCAGCAGAGTGATAACGCCGTTCACAAGCAGCATGCGCGCGCGCGCACACACACACACACACAAAATCTAGTCTGGCAATGCAACAGAGGGACTTCATGCTGGCTGTGCACTTGTGAACTGCCGGAAAAGGCCATTATAGATGGCCTAAGCACAGTGTCTGGGGTCATTATTAGCATTTCAGCCAAGCTTGAGTAAGTCAATGAA